TGCCTAGGGCTTTGCTAAATGCTTTGTGTATATTATTTTGTTTAGTCTTAATAACTTCTCACTTTTTAGATGGGAAACCAAAACTTAGAGGTTGAGTAAACGGTCCGGGCTTGGTGGCTCAGCCTGTAATCCCAGCACTTTGGGAGGCCGAGGCAAGTGGATTATCTGAGCCCGTGGGTTCGAGACCCACCCAGGCAACTTGGCGATACCTCATCTCTGCAATAAATAAAAAAAATTAGCTGGGCATGGTGGCGTGCGCCTATCATTCCGGCTACTTGGAAGACTGAGGCAGAAGGATCACCAGAGCCCAGCAGGTCAAGGCTGCGGTGGCCGGGAGCAGCCACTGCACTCCAGTCTGGGCGACAGAGTGAGATTCCAACTCCAAAAAAAGGTTGAGTAACTTGCTGAAAATCATAAAACTAGTATGTGACATAATCAGATTTTGAACTCGGGTATTATTTTAAACACTAAGGTTATTCTCAGCCACTTCCCTGAGTATCCAGAGACTCTGAGAGCCTGGAGATGGCACTTTATACAATCAAGGAAGAGGTGCTTAGGCGAAACATTCACTCACTGCAGGACTATTGGGATTTTAGGGGGGAAACAGATACTTCTCAACCTCCTTTCCATAAAAATGTTAAATCTAATGAAGAGGGTGAAATTGGTGGAATATCTCACAATCTGGAATGTTCATCAGTTAAACTGATTAAAAACCATTCTTAGATGGCTGGGCTCGCAGAAGAAAATTGACCTTCTAGTCAATTGTCTACCCTTTATAGGTGAATCCCAGGTGATTAACTGATGTGCCCAAGGCCATATGGTTTGTTAAGGGCTGAACTTGTTCTCAAATTCAAAGTTCATTTCAGACTGCATTTTAGCTCATCTCTTCTGAGCTTTTGATGCCGTTTACCATCTCTTCCTTCTTTGAAACAGTCTCTTACTTCAGCATCTGATATAGTTGACCTTTTTTTTCTTTCAGATTCTATATTTGTGAGTTCATCTACTTGCTTAAATGTATTTGTGACCCCACTATGCACTTTCAGAGTCATTCCCAAACATGAACAGAGCAGGGGATAAGTTAATTCAGCTGAGGTCAACAAGGCAACACTCTACCTTCCTTCTTCCACTCATACTATAAACACGTATCTTTTATTTTTATATATTTTTATGATCCAAGATGCAGGAGTTTATTTATTATGCTGTAAGCTTGTTAGACCTGCCTGATCCTATTGCAATTCCTAAGTTTGACAGTGAGACTCTTTCACTGGAGGTGAGGCCCTTAAGGAAGCATTCTTCTTTTTCCACCTATAAACAAGGCAATCGAGGATGAATGTCACCCTGAGAATTTGAGAAAAGTCTATTAAGATGCATCTGAGCTTGAGGCTCTCATCTAAGAAATGCCACAGTTGGGAGATGAAGGTGGAGGTAGAGGGGGACCATCATTGATTGGGTCATGCAAATACAGTTGTCACATCAAGGAAAGAGGGTGTTGTTTAGTATTGAAAGCATATATTCCATATGCGGGCATTTGGTAGTCAGTCTGCTCTGAAGTGACATGCTTCTGAATCTTTAAAGGGCTTCAGCCAGGGAGTGCAAAATCTGATTGAGCAAATTGCTGGAATATTTAAAGTGCAGCCTATTACAGCTTTGACTGTGAAGAGCATCACCTCAGAATTTGTAGTCAGAAAGTGCAAGAAATTGACTTTCCGTCCTCATGCCAGTCCGTCAGCATGAGGTTCAATTCAATTCCTGTTTCTTTAACTTCATTGCTGATGCTAACAGCAGCCGCGTGAGCGTGTGCGTGTGTGTGTGCGCGCGCGTGCGTGTTTGTATGTAAACATGCACCTTTTAGGGGTCTGGTTTTCACATTTTTGTGCTTTTGTCAGTGATGTTGCCTTTTAAAACTTGCTTCCCCCCACGCCCCCCCCACCCACACACAAAAAAACTTGTCCACGTTCTCAGGCTTCTACTTTTCCCAGGAAAGCAGGAACCCTGGACCACTGATATCCAGGTTGGGATAAGCTGCTTCCCAACACATAAGGGGCATAGGGCTGTCGTTACTCCAGACTTCAGGGGCTGGTGCTTATCAGACAAACCTGCAGAAAAGTGGAGTCCAACCTCAAACAAATGATAAATGTCTAGACTGAAAAAAAGACTCTAGAGTCTTTATTCTGATGTCATCTTCTCAACCATGTCCCCTCCACACCCTGTGTGCAACTAAAACCCCACGCTAACACTCCCGATACTCTTGCCCTTATTTTTCCTCTGTAGCATTTATCAAAATATAACAGAATTATGTTGGCTTTTTGTCTCTTCCTACTAGAAATGCTGACTCCATGATGCAGGGGTTTTTGACTATTTTGTCATTGATGTATAGAGCATCAGGGGTACCCAGTAAATGTTTGTCAAATGAATGAATACATTCAAGAGACCATTTGAGAGTGAAGATTCAAAGTGGTGCATTGGAGACAGAACCAGCAATTGTGTCTAGAACCATCTAGAAGGCAGCTGCAATTGGTTTTGAAACCGGGAGAAAGGTGTGACACCGGAGTATGGGGAACAGATGTACAGATGTTGGGTTCTTGGAACAGTAAATGTCAACCAAGGGACATATTAATGCCTAGAATGTTGCCATCTCTTGAAATTTGTTGCATAGGCCAGGAGTGGTGGCTCAAACCTATAGTCCCAGCACTTTGGGAGGCCGAGGTGAGTGGATTGTCTGAGCCCATGGTTCAAGAACAGCATGGGCAACTTGGCGAGACTTCACCTCTACAAAAAAATTAATCGGGTGTGGTAGCACATGCCTGTAGTTTCAACTACTTGGAAGACTGAAGTAGAAGGATTGCCTGAGCCCAGCAGCTACTGGGGTAGCTGTGAGCGTGCCACCGCATTCTAGCCTGGGCAACGGAGTGTTACTCCAACTCAAAAAAAAAAAGAAATTTGTTGCATAAACAGCAGATGTGTGTGTGTGTGTGTGTGTGTGTGTGTGTGTGTGTGTTGTTTTTTACTTTTGCTAGGAGTCTCACTCTGTTGCCCAGGCTTGAGTGCAGTAGCACACTCATGGCTTCCACAGCCTCGACCTGCTGGGCTCTGGCAATTCTTCCACTTCAGCTTTCCAAGTAGCTGGAACTACCAGCACATACCACCACACCTGGCTAAATTTTTTGATTTATTATATAAATGAGGAGGTCTTGCCAAGTTGCCCTGGCTGGTCTCAAGCCCCTGGGCTCAGGCAATCCTCTCACCTCTGCCTCCAAAATTGCTGGGATTACAGATGGCCTTTCTTTTTAAGTGAGAATCAGTTATAATGATAATAATCAATTATCCAATGGTTATTGTTTGTCAGTGCCAGCATTATTTGTTGGGTGCTTTATACTTAGTATCTCACTTAATTTTATCCACACCCTAGAAACAATGACTTATTATTAGCCCATGTAACAGTCGCCCACACTGAGGCTCAGAGAGCCTGAAATTGCCTGAGATAGTACAGTTAGAAAATGGCAGGACCAGGCTGGGCATGGTGGCTCACTTCTGTAATCCCAGCACTTTGGGAGGCCGAGACAAAGGATTGCCTGAGCCCAGGGGTTCAAGACCAGCTGGGGCAACTTGGCAAGACCTCTTCTTTACAATAAATCAAAAAAAGAAGCCCTGCATGACAGCACACTCTTGTGGTTCCAGCTACATGGAAGGCTGAGGTGGAAGGATCACCTGAGCCCAGCAGGATCCGGCTGTGGTGGCTGTGAGGGTGCCACTGCACTCCAGTCTGGGCAACAGAGTGAGACTTGTACTCAAAAAAAAAGAAAAAAAATTGGCAAGACCAAGTACTGAAGAGTCTCTGTCCATTTCCAAAGACTGTTTGCCTCCTCCGTCAGCACTTAACCTTGAAATAATGGTACATTCTTGGACAAGGACTTACCTGTTGGGTTTTTTTTCTTCACTATCCCTGCTGGCTACCACGAGACCCCCTGAGCTTGTCTTGCTTCCAGTTCTTAAACAAAAGTCCTTCTTTTCCCCTCTAATCCTGCCACCTTTCTATAGAAAGTGACAAATACTTTGCTTTAATGTCCTTGGATGGCCTACAACTTAGTTAGGCAGGAGAGAACGAGTCTGAAGTCAGATCATGATCCATAATTCTGAGGTAAACAAGTCCTGTGTTGTCCCAGACTCTGTGTCCCCTGTTAAGGAAACAGGCCTGAAGCCCAGAGAATCATCACTGATCTTTGAAGTCAGGCTTTGTTTGTCTTTTGTTTGCTCTTACTGCTCAGAACACAACTCAATCTTAGGTAATTTTCAAAAGAACTTTTCAAACTAATGACTTTTCTTTAATTGATAAATACAAATTGTATATATGTATGTATGATGTACAACATGCTGTTTTTGATATATGTATACATTGTGGAATCTTAACATGTACTTAAATACCTTTCTGATTTCTCAAGAGCAGAAATCTCAAATCTAGTAAGTGCATACCCTCTAAATCAGTGGCTCTGAGACCCACAGTTCACATATTAAATCTAGTTTAGCCCACTGGTATAATGGCTTTGGTTGACATAATACAAAATACTATGTTGCTTTAACTGAACTTGGATGCCTTTGTTTAGAAAAATAATATATTCTTCAGTTGTCTCCACCCTCCTCTCTTTATTATCTTTTCCTGCTGTTCTTTCATGTCACCTGCCTGGCCCTTGAAGGTAAGTGAATTTCCACCCTGGGTGAACCACTGCAGAGTCAGAAAAGCAGAAAAACCAAATGATATCCAAAGTGAGAGCAACTCTTGTACTGTTGCTTAGCCAAATCATTCTTTCACCTGGGAAACAAAAACAATAATGTTTACTATAGAAAGTGTATTTTTTTCCTCTTTCAAATAACTTGTGAAATCCACTACAGTGAGTGGTGACAGCTCGCATATTCTGGGCCTCAACTCTCTCTGCTAACCTTATCTGCATCCTCTGCTCTAACCCTGACTTGTCGGAGACACCTGTTCCATGCCTGTATTCTAGCGGGCAGCCCATTCCCCGAGTGGAATACACGGAGGAAGAAAAGAGGACGTGGGGCACGGTATTCAGGACCCTGAAGTCCTTGTATAAAACCCACGCTTGCTACGAGCACAATCACATTTTTCCACTTCTGGAAAAGTACTGCGGCTTCCATGAAGATAACATTCCCCAACTGGAAGATGTTTCTCAATTCCTGCAGAGTAAGTCCGCATCAGGGTCAAAGGCGGGAAGTAGGGTGGGGCTGGGGCAGAGGAGAAGGAAAGGGGAAAAAAGTCCATGGAGGTGAGGATGAGCCTGTAGACCGTAGGGATGAACGCAGGCTGATTCTCCCAGGAAGAACTCAAATCACTGAGCTCTGCCTTCTCTCTAGCCTCAACTCCTAATCTCCTTTTATCCCAGCAAAGACATCAGGCATAGATTTTTCCATATGTATGTTCGTGGGAAGGTTTTTCTTTGCTTCTTCAAGCCCAGGGTGTCCCATCAGGGCTCTCCCTGCAGCTCCTTGTTGTTTTATGAGTTGGCTGCAGTGTGGGTTTGTGTAAGGAATTGCTACAGATGGGGCAGTGCCAAGAGTCGTGAACTCTGAGTCTATGCATCTGGTGTGAATCCGGCCTTGGAACCTCTCTAGCTGGATGGACCTGCCTCAGTTTTGTCATCTGTCAACTTTTTAGCCTTTCTGGTAGGGAAATTGTGAGAATGAAATACAATGTTGCATAAAAAAGCACCCAGCATAGTGCTGCACTTATAGTAATTGCTTGGTGAACTCAAACTGAATTGGAATCTAGTCTGAGTAACTGAGTAGGTAAATGCATCGTCTGGACTTTGGACAACCTCTCTAGGGGAAATGGGCATGTTCCTTTCAGCCAGGAGGGTATTAATTCAACAAAAATAAAACATTTAAGTAACATATTAAATGCCTGCTATGTGCCAGGCAGAATGAGAAAATGTAGGGAGACAATCCACAGGTTCATAGAAATGAAGAACTTCCTATGCATCAGAACTGTGCAGAGATGGACAACTCCAGCCATGGCAGGGTGGGAGGATGTAGCCAGGATAGAGTAAGGGTAGACCAGGTGACCTGTGTGGCCTCTTCCATTTAGAAAGTCTTTACTTTCTGGATACACAGAGGAGAGAGATTTCAAGCACAGCGAACTTCAGCCTGAACTGAAGATTCGCAGAACACAGGAGCTGTGGGAAATGCATTTGGGAAAGGCTCAGCTTCTACTTAATAGGGTTATTGTGGGAATTCACAATATACATAATGTGCTTAGAGCAGTGCCTGACATATGGTATGGGATATACAGTGTTAGCTATTATTTTCAAAATCACTGTCATTATTCTTCTCCTTCCAAGTTTGGAATGAATTGGGAGACAGATACAGGAACCAGAGAGATGGTGATCAGAATGGCAGCTTAAAACAACAAAAACCTTTTTTAGAGAATGTAGCATAGATGTGCACCCAAATGGATGTCCTAATATTCTACCCCTTGATCAGGTAAACTTACCTGCCAGTTCAGAGAGCAGACCAGGACACACTCCTCTGCGGGCAATCAAGAGAAAAAGAGCAACAAAAAAGGGTTAAATTGAGAATAGGCATCTCTTGTTCCCAAATGTTCCAATCAGACCAATCATTGCCTCTCCTGGGGTGGGCTGTGTGAGGTTCGGTAGAGAAGCTACAAGTGCTGCTCCCCCTACTCTTCCTTTCTAGGAAATGGAGTGAAAATTTCTTCCCCATTCTAGAAACAATAGAAGTAGGGATTCATTGTTCTGCCTTACCAAACAGTAATGGAAACTAAATTTATTGGATGTTTCCAATGTGCGAGGCTCTGTGCTAAGTAATTTGTAGTCATTAGCTCTTTCGATTCTCCTAAATATCTATCCACATTTTGCAGATGAGAAAACTGATCAATGTAAATTCCTTGATCCAAACCACACAGTTAAAAAGCAGTTGGGTAGAGATTTGAAGCCAAATCTGCTTGGCATCAAAGTCCATGGTCCTGGGCAGTTGCGTGTACTATCTCCCTACCTGAAGATCTTAGGCCCCTCTGGCTTCACTGTGATGAGCTTTGAGTTTTCTTTCTCCTTTGCTTACCAGGTTGCACTGGTTTCCGCCTCCGACCTGTGGCTGGCCTGCTTTCCTCTCGGGATTTCTTGGGTGGCCTGGCCTTCCGAGTCTTCCACTGTACACAGTACATTAGACACGGATCCAAGCCCATGTATACGCCTGAACCGTGAGTATTGTCCTCCAACTACTGGTTGCCAGCCACAGTGAGTGTCACCTCTTCCTGTTCCAAGAATGGAGTTTGGCTTCATTAATGACTGGCCCATGGGACTAGCTGTATGGTAGGTAATATACAGTTTTAGCTATTATTATCATTATCACTGATATTATTCTTCTCCTTCCAAGTTTGAAACAACTTGAGGGACAGATACAGGAACCAGAGAGGTGATGATCAGAATGCTAGCTTAAAAGAAAGAAAGAGCGATTTAGATAATGTAGTGTAGGGGTGTACCCAAGTAGACTTCCTAATATTGTATTCCTTGATTATGTAAACTTACCTGACAATTTACAGAGCATAGTCTTGGATTGATTTTTGGTAGTACTGAAATAAACTTATCTATTTTGAAGGTTTTCTCTGTCCAAATAGACCAAATTAATTGAAGATTTGAGTATCCTGGGATCCAAGGATTCAGAACTTCCCTGGTGGTGGGAATGAGAGATCCCATTTAATCACAAAGTCAGAGAGTTATGAAGTTTGTGATTTCAAATGGGAGCAGGAGCAAGTGACAACCAAGCTATCTCAACATCTAAATACAAGTCTAGATGATTCTTATCTGCATAGGCCTAAACTGTTTCTTGGTTAGATGTAGAGAATGGCCAACCACAATGCTTTTTACGTTTGTGTGAAGCCAACTCCTTGGTCAGATAAAATTTATGCAATTTATTGTTTTTAAAAAATCATTAAGACACACACAACTATTTTTCCCTGCCCACAAAGTATATTGCTCTGAATCAGAAAAGACCTGTTCCAAATGGATGCAGCACTTCAAGTGTTGAATAAATAGTTTCTCTTCTCTGACTGCTTCTCCCTCCAGACTAAGAGAAGAACAGCACTATTTTTTCCCCCAGTTCCTGGTAGGAATAACTGAGCATATTGTATTTGCCCAGGGAAGTCAATTGCCAAGGAGAAGGCTTGTGATGACAAGTGCTCATGGACCATAGCTCACACAGGGGCAGACCTGCAGGAATATTGCTTTTCTGTCTTGTGAACCACTTGGGCACCCAAGACCCCTGATTGCTAAGTCCTACTGTATCTGTCTCTTACTTTTCTATTGTTTTCTCTTGTACCTTGCCTCATCTGACACCAAGCTCTGCTTATCATTTATTCCTAGAGAGAGATCATGATTCTAAATGAACTACTTCCCTTCTTCCTCCTCATGCAGAAAGACTGAAGCTAGCTTGTTTTAAGCCTCCTCCCCGCCATGCTCTGTGCTTTCTGTCTTTCAGAGACATCTGCCATGAACTGTTGGGACATGTGCCTTTGTTTTCAGATCGCAGCTTTGCCCAATTTTCCCAGGTAAGGAATGGATCTCTTTAGCCTCCTACTTATAGGGCGGAGACCTGGATTGCATAAATGAGTTGAGCCTGTAAAGGGGCCCTTGAGCCTTTTGCAGGAGTGAAAGCCAGGGACAGGTCTGTGATCCTACCTGAGATAGGTGTGTGGCTCTGTGAAGCTGGCTAAATACCCATTCCGGGGGCTACAGCATGGGACTGATGAATTTCTTGTCCTCTGAATCATACGTGTGTTGTCAAATTTGTAAATCTCATTGTCCTACCAGGTGTAATTTAAGAGCCTTCTCATCCATGAAAATCTGCCCTGATTCCCCTGCAAAGGTTACCTCACCTTCTTCCAAGTTCTCCTAGTACCTTTCCCTAGCCTTTTTCTAGGACCACTGCAACCTTCTACCTTATCAGGCAAGTCATTTGTGCACAAGCTAGAATTAAATAAGATGATGTTTGCCAAGAATCCAGGGTCAATAACCAGACTTATCGTTGGCAAACAAATGAGACAAATATTTCATCACCATCATCAAAGCAGCAACTTGGACTTTGATTCATCTTTCACAGTGGGGAACAAGCTCAAGAAATGCTTTTAGATGAGTGAAAAAATTCAACTAATTTTCTCTAGACACTAATTCTCTTAGAGGCAGCCCAAAACCATGACTGGGTAACTGGGATTATGAGAGAGTTGAATGATGGTTCTAATGAACCTACAGGCCCAAGCCCGCCACTGGCCAGGTATGTGACCTGTGCCATGCGGCCAGCCACCCTGAGCTTCAGTCTCCACAGGTGTGGATCAGTTCACTTCCTCACAAGGAAGAATGAGGACCAAGTGAAATGAAATGACCCATGAGCAAACGCTGGGCCAAGTGTGAATTTCAGAGTAATGGGATTATAAGCATTTTCCCCTCAACTGGAAGAAACAAGTATTTCCACTGTCGAATGAAGAGGCTACCACTTAACATTGGGAACAAACAAAAAAGCTAAATTCATTGCTTGCTAGTAAGGGAGAACTATACTTGTCGCCTCTCTAAACAACAAGGTGAGGTTTTGGGAATGATGGAGTTCAGAGATTGTTGAACTTTTAGAATTGGGAGTGTTTAGGGAAGAGCTGAGTTTTTGTTTGTTTTGTTTGTTTGTTTTGTTTTTTGAGTTGGCATCTGGAGTCTCACTCTGTTGCCCAGGCTAGAGTACAGTGTTATGTTCACAGCCACCAACCATAGCCTCCACCTGCTGGGCTCAGGTGATCCTTCCACCTCAGCCTTCCAAGTAGCTGGGACTACAGCACATGCCACCATGCCCAGCTAATTTTTTGATTATTGTAGAGACAAGATCTTGCCAAGCTGTCCAGGCTGGTCTCAAACCCCTGGACTCAGGCAATCCTCTTGCCTCTGCCTCTCAAAGTGCATGAGCCACTGCAACCGGCTTAGTTGAGTTTTAATTGTGGAAGCATCACCTTTGACATTCAGAAGTATGGTTACTTCTGCCAAGATGTCATTGATTGCTTGAGACAGCTGTAAAACCAGGACTTGTTACTGTGTCTGAAGAACAATCAGTTTTCTCCTCAGAGAATAGGAACTATTTATTCTCACCACCAGAAGCTACTCTGCCCAGGCTAACTGGCAGTCTTCCTGAAGCCATTCCATTTGGGTAGCCCCACAGAAGAGTAGACAGTGACTCAAGTCAACAAACAGGATCTGCTGGGGCATCATGTCACATGGCTCTGACTTTTATCTGGACAACCCCAAGGCAAGGAGTCATGTTGAAAGTTCCTAGAGAACATTCCTTTCTGATTTAAGGGCAGGACTTGCTTTCTGCTGTAGTAGAAAATGAGGTGGGGATGGAGCACAAGGAAATACTGGGGACTCTGGTTTCTGGCAAGCTCTGGGCCCACAAAGAATGATGACTAGGAGAACCAGGCATCAATTTGATCTTGGGTTTATCAGTAGCTTCTGTTGAACTCAAGACTGTGGCATTTCTGGGAAGGTGGGTGGAGTGGAGATGGGGGTAGGGCTAGAGAGTAGAGCCAGGCTAGGAATTTGTCTGAATTTGGTATACCCTGAATCAGACAGCATTTTCTAAGCATAGTCTGGACCAGGCTCTGGGAGGGATACAGAGATGCAGGCTGTGTTGGCTCTTGCTCCCAAGTGGGCCCATTTCTTCATCCCCATCTTTGTCTACGACCAAAGTGATCTCACCCAATCTCATTACAATAAATTCCAGCTGTACTCTGATTACAGACACATTTGTGTCTTCAGCCCAGACTTCAATCCCAAAATTCAGACTTATATATCCAAATGCCTACTCAGTATCTCCCCTTGGGTGTCTACTAGATGTTCCTATCATCCTGTCATAACTACATTCCAGATCTTTCCACTCTACCCTTCTCCACCCACAGCCTGCCCTGTGCATGGTAACTCCACCCTCCCAGCTGGTCAAACCTAAAGCACTTGGGGACATCATCAACTCCTTTCTCTCTTACTCCCTAACCGGTCTTACAGGAAATTCTATGTGTGCTACCTTCAGGATATATATAGAATCTGACCACTTCCCATAATGCCCACTGCTACCAACATGGTCTCACCCACTGTTGTTTCTCACCCTGGTAACTACAGTAGTCTTCTCGCTGGAGTTCTTCCTCTACTCTTGGTCTTGTCCCTACTCTCAATCCAGGCTACTAATGTCCTGATAACCTAAGTCAGATTATGCCTACCTCTCTGCTCATATCCCTGCAATGGCTCCCTAGTTCACTGAAAGGAAAAGCCCAAGCCCTGAATGTCTAAAAGATCCTAAATGATCTGGTTCCAGATCCTCTTTGACACCATCTGCCACTTCTCCCTGGCTAACTCTCCTCCTGACACACTCGTCTCTCCCTGTTTTTTGAACCAACCGATCTTTTCCCTCCTTAGGGATCTTTTGTGCTGTCTGTGCTTGGCCTGCAGTGCACTTCCTTCAGATGCCAGCAGCATCGACAACCCACTTCTGGGGCGTCTTTGCTCAAACATCACCTTCTCAGTGATGCTGATCCTAGAGCCCTACTTAAAATCACAGCTTCCCTCACATGTCCTGGAACTCCCAATCCCCCTTATCCCTTTCTCCTGCATCTTCTTTCCAAGGAACTTATCACCTTCCAACATACCTATGTATGCTTATTATGTGTTACTTATTGTCCATCTCCACTAAGAAACCATACAACATCTTCATGGATTTTTATACTGCCTGGCACATAGAAGGAACTCGATAGATATTTCTAGAGTGAATGAACGCATGGAGTAGAGGAGACACACACACACACACAGCAGACTGAGTAAATGTTGTAAAAGAGAACAAGAAATGACTAGAGGAATTCTCCAATCGGGACTGTAATGAGAAGTGATCCATAATGTTTCCACCTTTGTAGCCATGTGTATGCTTGGACAGACGTCAACCATGTGTCTGCAGTTCCTGTGGTGCTTTCAGGGTGCATGTTTAAGATTTGTCCAGTACTCCAGGAATGTCCCACTTATACCGTGGGAGAATAATCATTCATCGAGAGATGAAGCTTTAGACATTTAACTGATTATGTAACCATGAACAGGTCCCCTTCCATCTCTGTGCCTCAGTTTCTCCTCAGTTACAAAGTGAACACAAAGAACCAAGTGATGGTAAAAGGTGGTTTTCCGTGCTCTAGAGGTCTATGATTGCATAATATTGTCCAGAAAAGACTTGACAGCACACTCAGGGTCCATGTGGGCCCTTCTGCAGACTTCTGGCCCCCTGTCACCTTCCTATTGGTCAAGTACCACACTGATATTGAGGGTGAAAGTTGGGAATGGGTAGACGCCATCTGCACCGGTGACTCTGTTTCTCCCCAATTTCAGGAAATTGGACTTGCCTCTCTGGGTGCGCCAGACGAGTATGTTGAGAAACTCGCCACAGTAAGTCCCTTCTCTCCCTGGGAGGATGTGGGAGTGCTATGGGCTGTGGCCCTCACATCTTGAGGCTTTGCTGATTCCCTAGAAACCAGGTCATTTGGTTAAAAAAAAAATCAGAGTCAGAATATGGTGGGTTTCATTTGCACATGTGAGACTTCACGTTTTGATTCATTTCGCCTTAGTGATTTCATTTTGAAATAGGCTGCATGCAAATGTTGACATCTTTTAAATTTTAAACAGAATGTCTTGAAAACAACACCAGCTTTAAACCCCTGGGCACGAAGTGTGTGTATAAGGTGATCTGGACTCACGGCTTTGAAGAGGGCATATTCACATCTCTATCCCTGTCCTGAGCATACATTAGGATCTTTCCTTCCTCAGACACAACATGGAAATGAGGGTGGGCTCTGTCCATTTTCTGGAACACGTCCTTCTCCTGAGGGTATCTGATGGCACCATCCTCTGAAGCTGTGGAAGCAGCACCTCAGTGCAGTAGCAACTTCCTCTCTGTATACTCCAATTTCAGCACACCCATCTCCAGCTGCTAAGCCATATCTCTTATGATTTGCCCAGTCTGGAAGTTGAAAAAGAAACACTTAGAATGGAATTAGGGACCACCAATCAATGAAAATCTATCATGAAGATGTGTCAGTTTAGGAGTTTATTAATTCAGTCCATCAGAAAGCCTAAAGCTCCCAGAAGGGTTTCTCTCACTTGCCAGCTGCTATTAACCCTGGACAAGTGTCTTTTGCTTTCTTATCTCTAAAAATGGATCCAACAGTTTATATCCTGCCCATCTCAAAAGTATATCATGAGGATCTAAAGAGTTACATTTTGTGAATGTGACTTCTGAAATGCCAGATGCTACAGAACTGGATGTAATTTCTTACTTGTATGAAGAAAATGAACTTGGAACTCAGAGCACCATGTTGTCTGTCATGACAGTGACAAAAGGACTATCACCAATCTAGCATAACAAAAAATATTGTATGATTGATCCACTGGTCTGGAAAACATCCTGGAGTCTTGCTGTGCCTTTATTTTGCTGTGTAGCTGCGTGCATGTTGCCTCCTCCTTCTGGGCTAAAGACTCCTCGGCTGTGTGTGAGGAGGTCAGACAGTCTCAGCTTTAACATTCTTTTGTCTAGTTATCAACCTTAACTATAACTCACCCCTAACCCTCCCAAACTGTGACCATCTCCAGCAGCCAGCTGAGCTTCTTCTTGATCCCAGAGCCCCAGGACTCTTTCCCTGGCAGGCATCTAGCACTGAGAGTTATTGAAAGAAAAGGACTTGGTTGTTTGGGGGGACAAGTAAAGTGGTTGACTTCAGAAACACCCCAAGTGTCAGCATGGATGCTGGGATGTGCACCTTATTGACGCTATTGCCACCTGGCCCCACCTCCCATGATCGTATCTGCTAGAATTACCAGATAACCCCCACCAATGTGAGAGCAGCTTAGGAGTGCCTCGCTCTAGCTGATGCCACAGCAAAAAAGCCAAAAGGGATGAAGGAGTTCCTGTCATAGTAAGAGGAGCACCTTGTGGGGAGCATCATTTGGGGGTCTTTCAGTACCCTCAATGCTTCCCATTACACCTTGCAGCCAGCTTACCTTTGATTCAACAGGTAGCTAGATAGGTGAGATACAGAACACAAAGAAGTGATCACAGGTCATGTGGATTCAACACACCTGAGCAGACTTCCACCTGGGCCATCCTGCCCCGGGTCCTGGGGCATTTGCTGCCTCCCACTTCTTTGGAGAATATACTAGTAAAGGTTCCCCTAGAGAGACAGAACCAATAAGATTTATAGAAAGAATGAGAGAGAGAGAGAGAGTGCTATGTGAGAGGGGACTTATTAGGGGAATTGGCTCACACAGTTATGGAGACCAAGTCCCACGATACGCTGTCTGCAAGCTGGCAAACTTAGTCAAAGTTCAAAGCCACAGAACCAGGGAAGCTGATGGAATACCTCTTAGTCTGAGGGCAAAGGGCCAAGAACCTGGAGGTGGGGTTTGGGTACAAGTCCCAGAGTCCAAAGACCTGAGAGCCACGAGTTGAGAGCTGATGTTCAAGGGCAGGAGAAGAAGGGCGTCTTGGCTCAGGGATGAGAGAGAAAGAGAAATGATGGTGTTCACCCACATTAAGGGCAGATCTTCCCCCACTCAGTCCACCAACTCACGAGCCAGTCCTCTCCGGGAACACCCTTACCAGACACACCCAGAAACGTTTTACCCAGTCAAACTGACATGTAAACTTAGCCATCACCATTACAGGTGTGCTTCAGCTCGACTTTCCCTTCCAGATCTACTGGTTTACTGTGGAGTTTGGGATCTGCAAACAAGGAGACTCTATCAAGGCATATGGTGCTGGGCTCCTGTCATCTTTTGGTGAATTACAGGTATGACCCAAGCAGGATGAGTTTGAAAACGGTGGGCACAGGAAACCATTGTTTTTCTCTTAGTCTTGTCGAGTCCCCCTTTACATTCATTCTGAGATAAAGCCTGAGGGCTCATCCTCTAGCAATGGGCACCTTAGCAGCTATGAGTTCATCATGGCTGCAGGTGTTAGCCATGGAAAATGAATTGTGAGTGCACAGGTCTCTAGGCTGGATGGGTCTCCTGAGCTCATGGTTGAACTGTGCTTGCAGCCTTGTATGTTGCCAAGCATGTGCCAGAAAATATGGTTGGTCTCTATCTTGTCTACTGATCACTTTGCTTGAAAGTGGTTGGAATGGATTACTCCTTTCTCTCTTGGCTACAGGTTTAGATGAGCTATGAAGGGTAAAATCTAGTATATGCAAAATAACTTGGATGACTGCATTTGGGCTGGGGTATAGAAGGAATCAGGTGGGATGAGTCATACAAATGGCCTATGGGAAGCAGCAGAGACCACCAACCCTGCTTTAACCATGCAAATATCTCACTTGGGACCTGCAGTACTGTTTATCGGGCAAGCCAAAACTCCTCCCCCTGGAGCTGGAGAAGACGGCCATTCAAGAGTACACTGTCACGGAGTTCCAGCCACTGTACTACGTGGCAGAGAGCTTTAATGATGCCAAAGAGAAAGTGAGGTGAGCTGATGACCAAGGTGAGCCACTAGCTCTGGGGGCTCCTGACTCAGGCTGGTGCCACTAATCGGTAGGCAGCCGGACAGGAAGTAGACTCCATACCATAGCAACTTTGTGCCACAGACAACTTATCTCCCCACCTCCTCTACTCTCACCCTCTTCTGCTGTCTGTTGGGAGTCTGGATGTGCTGACCCCTGCACGCAGCCCTGCCACCTGTTCACTACTCAGAGCAGTCATCAAGTCTAGTCATTAATGCTTTCTGTCCACAGAATGGCCACAAAAATCCCCAGAAGCCTTCTGATCAGGGAAGTCCCTTCTTCACTTTCTTCCCCTGGACACCTTCGCAGCTTGCTCCCTCGCCTCCTTTATGCCTTTACCCAAATTTAATCTTTGTGTACCTTTCTCCAACCAGCTTATTGAACATCTCTGCCCACCCCTGCTGCTGGTGCTTCTGTGATTCATTTTTTTTCCCTAGAACTTATTAACTTCTAATATATAGCATAATGGAAGCTCCATGAGGGTAGGAATTTTTGTCCTTTCTGTCCCTTGCTCTTTCTCCAGCCCCTAGAACAGTGGCTGATATAGAGTAAAGACTCTATAAGTAATTGGCAAAGGCATCAGTCTGGGAGGCAATTCAGCGAAGGCTGATGAGAGGTGCTGAGACTTGGAGACTCAGCCCTCTGAGCTGACAGCCTGTCCTGCCTTCAATCTGCTGGGGCAACCCTCTGACAGACCCATATCCTAGCAGGAGACAGGCCGGGCAGAGGGTCTATCCGGATGTGAATATCCTAATCCTCACCATGTGTTGCCACTTTTAAATAAAATTTGTATCAGTGATGGGTGACAAGCATAGGACCATAGGCCTTTGGGAGTCTATGAAGCTGGTTATGTCAGCAATCAATGCACTGGGCGTAGGTAACTTTTTTTTTGAGTTGGGGTCTCACTCTGTCACCCAGACTAGAGTGTAGTGGCATGCTTCTGGCCTTGACCTGCTGGGCTCTGGCGATCCTTCTGCCTCAGCCTTCCAAGTAGCCGGAACTATAGGTGTGCGCTATTACGCCTGGCTAATTTTTTTGATTTATTGTAGAGACGAGGTCTCGCCAAGATGCCCAGGCGGGTCTCGAACCTGCAGGCTCAAGCAATCCACTCACCTCGGCCTCCCAAAGTGCTAGGATTATAGGCTGAGCCACCAAGCCCGGCCATGGCTTAGGTAATTAAAGGTAAAATGCTGGCTCACAGGTCCACATCATTTGACCTCAAATTATTTCCTTTCTCCCCCTCTCTTGGGATCTCAAGTCCTTTCCGCTCTGCTTTCTAGTTATCTCTGAAACCATCATCCTTCAGCAGTAGCCTCACCTCCCTATGGCCCCTAAGTGCTCCATTGTACCATTCCTGGAACCTCTTGAAGGCTGTGGATTTTAGCGGTTTTGTACATTACCTCACCGGGGTAATTAATATTAATAATAATGTCCAGTACATGCCTAACACCTATTATGTGCGAAACACTGTTCTAAGTGCTGCTCGTGCCTTCATGAATTTAACCTTCAAATAAGACTGTAAAGTTTGTAGACAGGGGTACAGAGCACCGAACTGGTAACTCACCCAGGGCCAGTCACACAGCTATGAAGTGAGTAGCCTAGGGCTTGGTTCCAGGCAGCGGGGCCTAGCTCATGAGCACCCTGTCATACTGAGATCACATTTGGATGGGTCTTTCTGGAGGCAACTGTAACCCACGTTTGATCAGTCCCAGATCCGCAAGGAAGAGCTTGCCAGAATACAGGCCTCTGAAATCCCACCTGCTTTGCCAGTGCTTAGGGCCCAAGGGAGACAACCACAGAAACTCTTCTGTTAAGAGGTGGCACACAAAGTCAAAGAGAATACTGAAGAACAAGGTTCATAACAAGGAAGGGAAAGTGGGCATCCCTGGGGAGTTTCTCAGAGCATCCTGGCTAAGAGAAACCAACTCCAACCATTTTCACTTACAAGATTCAAGTTCTAGACAGAGATTTGGTTCATGTGCTCCTTCCTGGTCAGAGGTGGGCTGGTCCCCAACCCTGACTGCCCGACTAGCCACAACCAGAGGGGAAGGGGTGAATTGCCCACAGCAAAAATGAGGTACTTCATGGAAAGAGGGGGAGAAGAGATACAGTGCAGGTGAAATCACAGATGGGTATCATTTGGCTTATGCCACCAACTGGACTGAGAAAGCTCTTTCCAGAGAAGAGGTGGAGAGATACGCTTGATTATTTGTCCTTGACTAAAGGCAGCTAACACTCACGGGACACTTACACTGCCTTAATAGCACTTGCTACCACCCTCAGAGGTAGGTACCGCTAGTGCCTCAGTTTTAGAGAGGAATGAGTAAATTGGGGTGCAGAGGAGTGGTGCCCCGGCCCTGGTCACATGGACTTGGGAACTTGGGGAGCCACTTTTGCCAAACTTGAGGGGCCCTCCTGTCTTCTTTATCATTGTCTTTCCAATAAAGCAGCCTCTACTTTCACCAGGGACCAATATGGACACATCATTTGTGATGACTTGCAACCATCTTGTTAATGATATTGCTTGATGTCCCTCACAGGGGCCCTGCAGGGGATTCCTGCCAAACCTGGGAGTCACGCATTTGGAAGGCAGGAAAGTAAAGAGCCCAGGCCAGAGTCAAACGTCCAGGGTCCCTTCCCAGCTGCACAACTCACTGATAGGATGGCCTTGGTAGTCACATAACCTCCCTAAGCCTCAGTTTCCTTATCTGTAAATTGGAGAGAGTATTAGTACCTACCTCCCAAGGTTTTTGTGAATGTTGACTTAGGGAAGATATTTGTAAAGAGTGTAAACTGGTTAGGACTTAACATAGTTCTTGGTACATAGCACTCAGTTCATGTTAAATTTCATTGTTAGCGGAGTGCATTCTTCAAATCTTGGGCTATTTCTCTCTTTGAATGTGTGTTTACGCACACACACACACACACACACACACACACACACACACACGCACACACACAGGTTTCCCAAGAAGATTCAGTAAAACTCCATTCCCTGCTCGGCCTGGCTTCTGAAGCTCCTGTTTAGTGAGGTTTGGGGGCTACTCATAGTGAAGTGAAATTCCGCTGAGAAATCTCTTAAAATTATCTTTCTCTGAACGGTGTCCCTCTCTCAGTCCTGTGCTTTCGGTTTCAGGAACTTTGCTGGCATGATCCCTCGGCCATTCTCAGTTCGTTATGACCCATACACCCAAAGAATTGAAGTATTGGACAATACCCAGCAGCTTAAGATTTTGGCTGACTCTATCAACAGTAAGTAATTTACACCCTGTAAGGTCACTCTCTTTCCCACTAACAGAGGATTGCATTTTCCTACCTTCATTGTAGGAACAATAAGAAATTAGCCGGGCTCAGTGGCTCCGCCTATAATCCCGCGCTTTGGGAGGCGGAGGAGAGTGGATTGCCTAAGCCCGCGGGTTCGAGACCCGCCTGGGCAACTTGGCTACAATAAATCAAAAAAAAAAAATCAGCCAGGCGTGGTAGCGCACGCCTGTAGTTCCAGCTACTCAGAAGGCTGAGGCGGAAGGATCGCCAGAGCCCAGCGGGTCGAGGCTGCGGTGGCCGGGAGCGGCCACTGCCCTCCAGTCTGGGTGACAGAGTGAGACTCCAACTCAAAAAAAAAAGAAATTTATTAAATATCAAATTCAGAAGAAAACCATCTTCACATAAGCCATGGATGCATTGAGGGAGAAGAACCGGACTAAAAGGCCAGGATTGCATGACTGTCCTTTCGCCTTTGATCTTCCTCGATTGTACCCACCTTCTCGCAGCACACCACCTGGCCGTCACCCTATATTCTTCTTTCTTTTGTATCTCCATCCCTTCCATGTTAAGTGTCCAGCATTCTGCCTGATTCTATCTACTGTATCAGCTATCCGATATTCCATCAATTCATATATTGGTCTTCTGCTATTCTTTGATAATGAGGATATTATAATAATTGCTCTTAAATCACAGGTCTGCTGTGTTCATCACCTGCTTCTGTCTTTAGCCCTCCATGCTTTCATCCAACAACACTGATCAACATTTAGTTCCCATGCTGTCTCCTGTCTCCCAGCCTGTGCAGGTTTTTTTATGTTTGGAGTCCCCTCCTTCCCATCCCTATATAGAGATGCCCAGGTCCAGCTTATCTTTAATTCTCACACAGATAGCTCTTCTTGCAGGAACACTGGTTTGGATGCCCCTCCTATGTCTTTGCGTTTCTACAGATCATTCCTTCCAAGGACTTATCACTGCATTGTTTTATAATTGCTTACTTTGTCACCCCAGCTAGACCTGAACAAAGAACTACATCAGGTTCACTGTCAAATCACTGGCACTTAGTCCTATTTCCCAAAATTATATTAAGTACTCAAGAGTTATTGAATGAATGGGTGGAACTTCCAAAAGAGGTAGACTCCACAGAAGAATTTTAGGCCAGGTGGAGGACTCCCTGCCTTATATAATGCCAATGAAAGCCAAAAGGGCAGGTGGACTTAAAGAGTTCCTCTAATACCATGTGACATTGCCTATACCATTTCTAACACATAGGGCCAGAGCTGGCTGTCATAGTCATTCCCCAGTAGGCTTGGCCACCTGTGGTCAGCCATTTTGAAAAAGTCCAAAGCTGATTTGTCCTCTAGACTCTATTGTTGACATTCAGCAGAAGTAAGTAAGTTCACTGAAAAACCAGCTGAGTGCTCCAGAGATTAAGATGTAAGACAAAGGGGTCAGGCCATACCTGGTTTTGCTCCCCTTTCCTCTGAAAAGTCTAAAAAAAAGAAAAAGAAAAGAAAAAACAAACAAAAAAACTCTATAGAAGATTATTGATAAGGGAATTTTTAAAGTCACAGAATAACATATTTAGGAATTGAAGGGTCCTTAGAGTCATGTAATCTAGGCAAGACCTCATCACCTCTCTATATTTGTTTCCTCAATATCTAGGAGGGAGTGAGGCTTGTGTGTTAGCTTTGAGTCAAAGCCCCAGACTAAGTTTACCAAATTTATGGTAAGTCTTGGGAATCTGTAGACCTCAGGTGACTCTAACACTAGAGGTTTGTATGAACCACACTTTTAGGCCCAATGCCTTAGCTTCTTCAAGTATCTGTAGACGGTGATGTAAAAGAGAAACAGAGAAGATGGTGATTTGCCTAAGGAGAAACCTGTCAAGTCCTCCCCTAGGAAATAGTCTGTGAAAAGAAAAAGCTAATCACATTAATAGCTCTAACACTTCCTAGATCATGCACGTACCTGTACCACAACCAGGCTGTGAGCTCCTTGAAGGTTGGGGTGGCAACCAGCTTATCCAAACAGCCCACGGATCCCCTAAAGCTTTGCACATTGTGAACACTTGAAGAGTCCTTGTTCATTATAGGAATGGCCCATTTGGGTGGTATTTTTCTTTATAGGTGAAATTGGAATCCTGTGCAATGCCCTCCAGAAAATAAAGTAAAGCCACAGACAGAACTTGATCTGTCAACTGAGAATGTGTTGATGGAACTCCAGCTACTTCTTTCACATGAAAAATTCTGAAAAGCAAACCTTAATTTGAAATGACAGCTTTATATCCTTTTTTAGAACAAGATGGAGAATCAACAAGTAAATCAAAATAATATAAAATAATAGTATATGGATACATCCCCCAAAGTATCGTGGTAGATCTTTTGGGGCTGTCTTTGATTTAGAGGTGATAATCTCATTATTCTCAATTGAGTTGAGTCAGTAATCTGCCACATTTTATCAAGGTCAATTAAAATTTGGGACCTGCTTCATTCAAACTTCACATATGTTTTTGTTATCTGCCATAGAGAAATTCATAAAGGAGCGTACATGGCTAAATGTAAAACGCAAAACTGTCATCAGAATTAAAGTATTGCATTTATTACAAATCTTAAACTGCAAAGTTCATTTTCCATTGGTCTTAACTATGATTCCAATTACTGCTTTGATAATGTACCTATGTAAATTCAGGAGCCCATTAAAATAGTTACAAATATTGAAGTTTCATTTTATATAATGTCAAGCATTATATAAAAATATTTTTGTATGTTTTATTGTCATTATAAATACTACCATGTAAGGTAACAAAACTCCCCGCCCTATCCTGACAGTTCTCAGCATCATTGTCCAATTATCAAATCTGCTTTGGGAGACATTTTGGAGACATGTATGATACAGCAGATGTTGACTAAATGCCCGTTTAGTAAATATTCATTGAATAAATAAATGAATACATTATTAAAAGGCAAACCCACCAGAAAATTGGCATTTTCATTGTGTTAGAAAAAACATTAGTAGTTACAAAATTTTGCAATTTTAGCTGTTCCTTGGAATAAAGTGTTCTTCTCATTGCCTCAGAAAAATATTAGCTGGATAATCTTGTGACATGAAGAAATAATCGTATGCTCAGATTTCCAACTCATTGGAGGGGCTCACTGTGACCATCACAGTCATTTCTGGACAGTTAACAGACTTTGACTTTTGTTGGTTGTGCATTTGGCATGAACACATGACTATCTGTGGGTAGAATACCTATGATTTCAAAGCTATAGTTTGAACATCTTACACTACTTTACATTTTGTTTTGGAAATAATTGAGACTTAAAAGGTTTGCAGGGTGTTTGTTCAAGTGTAATTCTCAGAACAGCTATAGCAACAACAGAAAATCCTGGATCTCATCCTGGCTCCACCTGATTCTAATCTCTGGGGATGGAGGTCAGGGACTAGCATTTTAAGCTCGCCCATGTTACTCTTTTTTAAAAAAATTCACAGTCAAATCTACTAGGCACATAAGTTTGAGAAAACCTGACTGCTGATGGTCAGTCGGCTACTTGCCAATGATGTCAACATGGATAAGCCACTTCTCTTTTTTGGACCTCAGTTTCACTCTAATGATGAAGAAGTTAAACCATATAATCAAGATCCTTTCTGAACTTGAAATATGACTCAGATGCTCACATATGTCTTTAAATAGCTATACTGGCTCACTAATAGCATGTAATAATACTTATCTAAATATGCCAGCTGAGAGGAAGGAGAAATTTAGTCTGAATGTGTCTGAGGTTTCTTTGCTTTGAAGTTGGAATTTTCATATCTGTATTGATTTTCTCTTGCCTTTATAAAACTCAGTGATTTTAAAAGTGGAAATGAACTTTTTCTTCTAGTCTTCCTCTAAACACCAAACATTCTGCAAAGGGGCTATTCTGATGTTTCTTTATTTCACATTAAAAGTAAATTATTGACTCTGGAACTTGAATATTACATAGCATTTTAGACTGAATATGGAATAGTGAGTTTTAGTTCCAATAAAGATATCTTAACGTATTTGAAGTTAAAGTTTGGGATTAAGTTGTGATTTTCCCAGAAAAATAATTATATACTGAGCAAAAGATAATCTTTGCTTTTTTGGCTATATAGTATCCAGTTCTTAACTCTTATAGTCCAGATACAAAAGCCCAGTCTATAGCAATGATATTCAATACATTTTCAATATGTTTGTTGTAGTATTTTTTAATTTGCAGTAATTGAACAGTCTTTTAGAAACAATGGTAATGTTTTCTGAGAGATTATCTTGTATACAATCAAAAGAAATACATATAAAAAATTACAGGTATGTAGTATTGGTGTTCAATAAGTTTTGAAAGTAAGACTCTAAATTTTAATTCTAGTTTCCAAGTTATGTAATTTCTATGTAAATCAAAAAATCAACCAATAAATTGTGAGCTTTATAAAAACAGGAACCTTGACTTTATTTTCACTTCTTAAACTCTTAGCCCCTAGTACATAATAGGTGCTCAATAATTTTTTAAAAAAACATTTCTGAGTGAGTTACATCATGGGAAATGTAATGAAGATTGTCATACAAATAAACTGTTTTGTAAAAAAAAAAAGTTTATAAACAGCTAAATTTGCAATTTTTCTTTTTAAAAGCTATTGTAAAAATTATAACTTAGTCTAAGTTGTGGTTTGTTTTTAAAGAAGGATATTGGCCCTTATACCTAGCTTAGGCTAGATTTTGGCTAGTTATTTCATATTTCTATGACTTGAATAATAACTGTAATATGGAAAATGCTTAATAACTGTTTACTAATAAATAAAGGGAACAAATTGCATCAATGAAGCTTCATAGTTGCTCATAGTGGATCTTAAATGCTGAGAAAGTACTGAGTGACTTTTCTAACAGTTGCACAAAATCACTGAGCAAGCACAATTAGAAAGCCTATAAAAAATAGACTTTGCAAAGGGGAAAAATTGTGATCAAAGCTTCTTCCCAGTAAAGTGGGCACCACCCCCCCCAAAAAACACAGATGGTCATTGCCTTTTAATAGATTTCCTGTGCAGTTTCAAAAGCTATAAACTGTAGTAGTTTTGATATGCACTAGAAATGACTCTAGTGGCTTCTATGCCATACATTTTCTCCTTATCTATAATCGACTTTAAATTCTGCTAGCTTTGAGGCACAGGTTATCTTCTCATCTGTAGTAAGCAAAATTCCTTTAAAGAATAAGCCCAGAGTGATAAGCAATTGCTGAGAGGATCGATTCTAGTCTTGCAGTGTAAACACGGCTCTTTCCTATAATATTATTTGTCATTGCTCAGTTACTCTTTAACAATTCTTGTTTTGAATGTTTATTGCAAATTGCTTTATTATGACAATAATTTCTGAATAGTTGAAACTCTATCAAAAAGGAAACATGATAAAAAGTGACATTAGCCAGATGATTGAGTAGGAGATAAAAGACTTCTTTCCCACAAAAAAATAACACATAGAGAGCTATCTATGAATGATAGAAGCCTTATGAGGGCTCAAGGGACTATTTAAGAACCTGCAGCAACACACTGAAGCAAAATAATGTACAATTGTTATGCAGAAATTATCTCTAGAAAGATTACCACACCCGAGACGTCTGGCAATGACTAGGAACAAAAAAGAAAGAAGGGGACTATCAGTATCAGCCAGGTGATGAGTGCCACCATGGGCCCCAGTGACCTGCTATGTAGAGAACATCAGCAGTTTTCATCAAGGAGGCAACCAACAGCTATCCCACTGCCAACCACCAGAGATGCCTTGGTCCCTCCATGCATACCTGTGCTTCAAATCCTGGCTGCATGGCCACTCCACCAGGGACACTGCCACAACAAACATACCACAGTCAGTACCCAGAACCAAAAGGAATTGGTCACAACTTCTCCTGTGGAAGAAAAAGAGATCAAGAGGATACCAGTAGCCATTGCCATCAAAGACCTCAACAGTTCCTGCCACCGCTGCAGACACTCACAGCTTGGCTGCTGAGTATCCTAACATTCTTAATCAATGTTGACCTCAGCAACAGAGTTTCACAAACACTGTGCCACTGTACCCTCACTGGAGCAAGAAGCAATGCACCCTCTCAGCCAGTACCTTTGCATTCATCTATAAGAAAAAGTCATCATCAAATCCAATCCATAAAATTTGGAAGAAGTAACTGCTTTATCAAATGCACACACAAGCCAGGCTCGGTGGCTCAGCCTGTAATCCTGCACCTTTGGGAGGCTGAGGTGAGTGGATTGCCTGAGCTGGCGGATTTGAGACCTGCCTGGGCAGTGAGACCTCATCTCTACAATAAATCAAAAAAGTCAGTCAGGCGTGGTAGTGCATGCCTGTAATTCCGGCTACTTAGAATGCTGAGGCGGAAGAATCTCCGGAGCCCAGCAGGTCGAGGCTACAGTGGCCGGGAGTGGCCACTGCACTCCAGTCTGGGCAACAGAGTGAGACCAACTCAAAACAAAACAAAACAAAACAAACACACACACATAAATGCAAGGCAACAGAAAACATGAAAAGCCAGGGAAACATAACACCACCAAAAGAATGCGGTAATTTTTTAGTAACTGACCTCAAAGATTTAATAATTGTCTGATAAAAAATTCAAAAATGATTGTTTTAAAACTCAGTGAGCATCAAAAAAGAACAGATAAACAATCCAATGCAATTAGGAAAAAAGAAAAGAAGAAATTTAGCAGAGAGATTAGAATCATAAACAGAACCAAACAGAAAATTCTGGAGATGAAGAATACAGTGAATGAAATGAAAAATGTAGTAGAAAGCACTAACAGTAGAACTCATCCAGCAGAATAAATAATCTGTGAGTTTGAAGACAAATTACTTGAAAATATATAGTCAAAGGAGGAAGAAAAGCCCAAAATAAACAAAAAGACATAAACAAAATCTACAAGACTTTTGGACCAGTATCAAGAGAACTAGCATTTACATTATAGTGGTTTACAAAAGAAAAGGAAAAGAGAGAAAAAAGGACAGAAGTTTATTTAAAGAAATAATGACTAACAGCTTTCCAAATCTAGGGAAAGATATATGCATTCAAGTGTTGGGAGCCAGCCATGGAGGCCCACTGAGCGTTAGGGATCAGGAAGGGCCCTTGACGCCGAGACCACTAGGATGCGTTCAGGAGCTATTGACCCCATTTCCTCCCCCTTTCTACTCAGCACTAAGCAGAATAAGCTCCTGTAAGCTCAAAACATAAAAACTCTGAGACCGGGACAAACACAAGCTAACTTTAGAAGCTCATTGCTCCCATTCTTCCACAAACTGCAGTTTGGCTTCCACACAACTTACAAATCAAACTTGGGTCACATCTAAGAGCCTTAGTATTGGTCACAGGCTTCTGGGTCATGATCTTAGGATTTATTGAAGTTGAATAAGGTGTAAAGTGTAGAATATAGTTTTAGAAGACAGCCATTTTGTTGAAAGAATGTGACTGGGTTACTTGCAGTTAGCCCACTGTGAACTTTGGACTGGGCCGCATTCCAAACATTCTGGGATGGGCCACTTTAGTTTGTAAAGTAAGCACTTAAATCTCTATAGAATTGTTTAACTTGGTATTAATATGAAAAGGGTTTAAAGGCAATCATGGATTAAGGTTTCATGGATTAGGTTATGGGATTATACCTGAAAGAACATCTGGTGGGTGGGGAATGCCCCTCACATACCCAACTGTATATAAAAGGCCCATTGTAATTCCCAATAAACGGCTTCTGCACTAGACTGGGGTCCAGTCTCTTTCTTTCTCTTTCTCTCTCTTTCTATCTTTCTTCTTCCCCCCAATCG